GGAATTCAGGTTGAATTTCCTGGTGGCTATTTCCGTGATTATCCAAAAGAGAACAGGCAGGCGCCATTGAGCCCTAGGAGCCCCTGCTTATTTGCACGTGAATGTCTCAGTGTCTTACCCACAGCTAATCCACAGCAGCCAACGCTTCTTCCTTGTGGACTCTGCTACCCATCCCGGAACTAGCCCCTCTTCACCTTCTTGCATCCTCTTTGTCTATAGCTAATGTAAAGCCTTTCTGAATCTCCACCCCCCCACCGCCCCTGCCCGACACCGAATTTGTAAAAGCGATTGCAAAGCTCCAAGGGACAAGGGACTTGTCTTTCCTACCTAGCCATGCTGGAGGTGGCTTAGATTCTATCCCCCAAGACTGGTCTTTTTCTGCTAGCAATGGCCCAATATCCTTGACTTGAGCCATGGAAGTTAAAATTTTTTGTTTAACAGGTTGTTGAGTGCTTTATTTGCCTGTAAGTTGGGGGAAAGAGCAGGCATTCAGCCCAATCCTTGGAGATGTTTGCAAATGTTAACAGCATCCATTATATGTGAGATTTGCTTTGGTTGTTTTCTTTGATTGATGGGTGTGTGGAGGAAAAGCTCGAGAACCCCAGGGTTTGCCAGACTATCCTGGAGTTCTTCAACCCTTCCCCCAGATAATGCCTCTGCTTTTGTTCATGTGATTCCTTCTACTTGGAACGCTTCCCCTGCCTTTTTGTTCTGTGAATTTTATGTTAATATCAAACTGCCTTTTAAATTTTTTTGCAATTTTCCATGCCTCCCAAGTGGGTGTGATTTGCCCCTCATTTAAACCACTCTGGTATTGCATTATGTCGATAGCAGGCATTTGGCCTTCTGGTTATTTGCTAAACTACAAGGTCCCCAAGGGCTGGAATTGCACTTAGTACATACTCAAACATTTAAACTGCCCATGCTCACAAAGCTAGAGACTCCTGCCTGCCACTCTACAAGAATTCTAAATCCTGTGACATTTTCTATGCCCTGGAAAAACCATACATCTGACATACCAGACCTGCAGTGTCAAAACCGAACAGTTAAAATGGCATATGATAATTTAAACAGTACAGCACTC